TGAGGGGAATTATCTCCGTTTCCTCTGTAGATGGGCGCACGCTCTTACTGGAGAGTGCTTTTTCTGGCGTCCCTTTCCCTGTTCCCCTGCACAGCCCTGTGGATCCCAGTCATGCGAACAGTGGTGGGCAGGCAGGGTTGGTTAGGTATCAGTACACCTATGTGGGATGTGGTGACTTGAGCATATGTATAGGGTTTTATTTGATTCCCCTTGCCCCAGGGGAGCAAACGGGTCTGTAAGCCCAGGTTTGCCTGCTTTGGCTGCTTTCTCGTGTGCAGAGCAGTAGGGAAGTATATTTTCCCATGAAGGTGGTTTCTCTCCCCTCCCTTGCCTAAGGATCAGTAATGATGACAATTCTAGTCTGGTTTTAAAGCCAGGACTACTTTGGCCATCTGGAAGATGCCTATTGTTTGCATTCTCCTCTAATTGAAGGGGCAGGTCTACTGACTCTTTAAAAAGATACCTTTTTCCCAAAATATCAGCTGCTGCTGTGTAACGGATGTAAAGCGAACAATGAAGGCTTTGAAAGCTTCCCTCTGAATCCCCTTTTGGCTGCTCAGTTACTACTTGCCGCATCCTTGTCTTGCCAGTTCTTCCATCACCATGGTATTTTCCAGGTGAGACGGGGCCTGATGTTCCTTGTGATTAAAGGAAGCAAGGATGTGTGTGTTTGGGAGGGGACGGGGACCCTTTCCATTAACATCAAAAAGCAGCAGGAAATGTCAGAAGCTCATTTTATTTTTCCTTGAGGGGGAACCACTTAAGAATCAGGCCCCACTCGTTGCAGGGGACAGCACAAGGACAGAGTGCTTCCAGGTTGTAGCCGTATTGGTCTAGAGGAAAAAGCAACCGGGACTTGTGGTAGAGGTGATATCTTTTATTAGACCAACTAGATTTTTGCAAAATTAAAGACTTTTTTTTTGGTGCAAAAATCTAGTTGGTCTAATAAAAGACATCACTTCTACCATGAGCCCTGAGATTGGTGGCTTAATAAATAAGGTTTTAGGTCTGGAGTGGAAACCAGTTACTTGGTGTTGAATCCCAAGCTCAGTGGCTCCAACAGGCGGAGCTGGTCGCAGCTCTGATTTGCAGGGCTCCTTTTGCAAGCCTGTCCCAGCAGGGGCCAGCAGCAACACATTTCAGGCACAGAACAACAAGACAAGCTTCTCGTAGCGGCGCTGGGGTGAGCAGCGTGGTCTGTCTAGACGAGAAAATCATGCGGCTGATGAGAGATTTTTTTTTTTTTAATTACCCACCATTTTTACAGGATTGGCAAAGCACTGACTCACTGCTACATCAGGAATCTGTGCTGTTTTACAACCAGCTCTTACCCCATCCCTTCCTTCTCTGCAGTTTGCTGTTCTTGCGATGTTCGATGTGGGCAAATGCTTGGAGGTTACAAGCGTACCGTGTACATCAGTTTGTGGCATTGACACTGCACAGCACTGAGTTCTGTGAATGGCAAGCAGCCAGGCTCTTTGCTTTCTTTATAATCTGGCATGATATATTCACATTTTGGATATTAATTTTAACCCCCCCCCCAAAACCCCCTATAAAAATGTTCCACCCAAACTTTCCTTATGCCTGAAGAAGGGCGTTTGTACCTCAAATCTTGCAAAAACCCAATTTGGTTGATCTGATAAAAGATATAGTAATGAAAGATACCACGTCTACCCAAAGACCCTTGTCTGCCGCCCACACTAAAGGATCCCTGCAACGCTGTTGCTTTATGGTGGTGCTTGAATGGGAGGCCTCCAAATCGTGGCACGTACAAGCACCCAGTAAGAGCAGCGGGATGGGCAGGAAGCGATGCAAATCATTTAGAAGGTAGCTCTTGCCTTTCATTTAACAAGTCCTGCCTCTTGCCTGCTTTGTAAGCACTGGTGTTATCCGGTGGAAGCACAGCCCAATTTCAGCCTGCAGTTTCAAGCTGCTGCTTTCTCTGCCTGCTGAGCCTCCTACCCAGGGGTGTGAAGCTGCTTTTGCTTTGCCTTTTGCAAGTCTGTAGGGTGGCCGTGGTTGCGCTGTTCAAACTTTCTGCAAATAGGAGCACCAAAAACATTTGTATGGCAGCTGTGATGCGTGTGCTCGCTGGGCTCCAGGGGCAGAGGATTCAAGTAAAACACGCAGCGCCATAAAACAGGTGAAATCCTGAGACCCCTCTGTCTCATGCTGCCTTTGGCGTCTCTTTGTGTTCCAGGTGGGCATATAGAGAAATGAAATCATGGGGTATAGAGGAAACTGCACAGGACTGGGAGCCAGGAGGTCCTACATTATATTCCCAGGTCTGGCACTGACTCATCCTGTGACTTCAATACGGCGTGTGCACCCTCTGCTTCTGTTCCACCAGCTACCAAGTGGGAATAGCACCAGCGTGGGTGACATCGATAGATTGGCCCAGGGGTTGGACACGCATGCTCTTGGAGAGCTCCCCATTGAGTGCAGGTGCTGGGAGAAGGGAGCTGTCCCTGCTGCGATGGAGCCCTGCTCGGGCCTGCCCGTGTTCTTCCAGGCAGCTCTGTCTCCTTTAGCTCACATGGGCATCTCAGCTATTCCTCGCTTTTATACTCCCTGTCATGCTAAAAGCAGTCCCTGCGTTCTTGAATTGCACTGGGAGGCGACCTTGACCCCAACTCACCTCTCTTCTCTGACAAACTGATTTAGGCAGAGAGTTTGCTGGGAGGGGATGGATGTCGTCGCCTCCACCACGTTGCCCTGAGTTAACGGCATTTCCAGGCTTCCTATCTGTTCTTTTTAGTCTCCAGTTATCACATTATAGCTGACAGAGTGCCATTAGTGGAAGCATGGGTAAGAGTGCTAATGTTGATTGATTGGCCCCCAGCATTTCTATCCCCAGGTTGTCTATCGGGTCTCCAGGCCGGTCTAGGTAATAGGCTGCTGAAAACCCCGGTGATTTTATCTTTGCTAGTGCTCTCAACATTGAGAGGCCTGGTGGTAATGCGAAGTATGGTGTCGTCAAGAAACTAAGTGAGGTAGATAACGGCAGTTTGAGTAATGTAAGAACATGCAAAGTTCCCCACTGCCATCCAGGGAAAAACATCTGTTCCCGGACTGCAGCAAGATTAGGAATTTAAGAAAGAAAAGAGGTTTTCTTGCCAGTCTGAGACCAGTGTGGCGGGAGGGAAGATGCAAAGAAGACGATGTAGCTAAGTACTGCAAACAGCTTCTTGCAAATCCTGGTTCTGTAGCGAGTTCAAATCGGCCATGTGTCTAACCAGCTGCCACCAGCAAGTGAGTGGTCCTACTGCTGCGCGGCTAGGAGCTTGCGGAGAGCGAACTTTTAATTTGCACATGTAAATATTCATGCAGGAAATGTTTGTGCGCTCGCCGTGGTGGGGTGCTGAGACCATGTCACAGGGCCTTCCTGACAATGCAGCTACCGAACACGGCCGGCGTTCGGTGGAGTAGCGAAGGCTTAAGAGAGCTCTTTGCCATGAATCTGTAGGGTTAAGAGGCCCACGCAAATCCCACAGCAGAACCATTGTACTTGTCTGACAACAAGGTCAAAGCTGCGGTGACCTGCGAGAAGGAAAAGAAGCGGCGTTTGTCAGAGGACAAATCGGCCGTTGCAGAAGGGCCGCTCTCATCATCTCCGCCTGACCTCAGCACAGACCCCGGGGTGCCTCCCCGCAGCCCCCAGGTCGGGGACCCGTTCTCGCCACTCGACGCAGAAAGCCATTTGCTGGCAGGAGCCCAAGCTGGCAGGCTGCCTGCCACACCCTGCCTGCCCCGGCATCCCTCTCGCCCCCACGCCTGCAGCACTTCTCCAAAGGGCAATGTACTCCAGCTGCCCACATTCACCAAACGCCAAGGAGCCCCGCGCGCCTCGTGCAGCAACGCACCCTCCGTCTCCTGCGGCGAGGGCAGGGCTGCAGGCCCAGACGGCGGTGGCTGCTTCTCATTACTTGCTCCGGCGCGGGTCTGGAGAAGGAGCCCCCAAACCTCCCCCAAGCACTGCCAAGATCGTCAGGGAACGACGCCATTGCCGCTGGAGTCTCATAGGTTTCGATAGAGCTACTCGCCCGAGTCAGAGTAGCCCCATAGCCTCAGGTTTTATCCTCTGCTTTCGGGGGCTGTTTTTAGCGCAACCTCTTTGGACTTGCCTCCCTGGACTGTCCAGACCTAATCAATTAAAGAAGCCCAACCTAATGAATAGGTTACAGTGCTTGCCTCTGCAGATGTGGCGGGTGTGGGGAGTGGGCCAGGGACAAGCCTAGGCCTGTGTCTATCTACTTAGTTTACGTGCTTATGTCTTTGCGTCCTGTGGCACCCTTTGAAGGATCTTGCGGCACCCCAGAGAGCCCTGGGGCCTGGGCTGAGACCCCCCTGCTCTAGCCCGTGCTCCCTTTTCTGGGCCAAGAGGAAGGTTGCGCCCGACTGCTGCTGCTGCTGCTGCGCTCTCGGCTGGCACAGGGCTATCGGCTTTCCGCGCTGCGGTCCATCTCCGGAGCGGAGCGGAGCGGAGCGCGGTCCCAGCCCTGTGACACCGATCCCGGCTTGTTTGTTGGGTTTTGCTGTTCGGGGCTTTTAAGGAACAAGCCAGACAATCGATCCGCTGCCCGGCACGAGGTGCCTGCGGCTGGGGCTGGCTGGCTGGCAGGCAGGCCGGCCGGCTGGCGCGC